TCTTGTGGTTTTCACGGATGTCGGGTCAAGGAGACCTCATATTGGTGTTTTGACAGTTCCATTGAGTCCGGAACATCGAGTATAATTGATTTGCATATGTGGTTTGTGTGTACGTGATTCCGAACAAATCTTGAGGTTCCTTTCGATGTTTTAAATTTTGGCTGTGTTTTCTGGTGTTGCAGGCCTCACTTTTGCGAAGGTTCTGTCGCTTAAGCAACCTCCTCTTAAGCGAAGGATCTGTCACTTAAGCAACCTTTGCTTTTGCGAAGGAGGCTTTGCTTTTGCGACACCTGCATTTTTAGGAATCAAGCAAACCCCTGGTCGTTTTTGCGACATCAGAGAGGGTTTTTGGCCCCATTTTACCATTTTTGAGTTTTGGGAGCTTTGGGTGTTTATTTGGATCATATTTTCGAGGAAAATCTTTTGGATAACGATTCTTATCTCTAAATCTTCAATTACCTGTTATTATTTATGGATTTATGTGTTCAAATCAAGCTTTCGAAATGAGAAATTTGAGTTATCTTCAAGAACCGGGAAATTAATAAAATGGTGATTATGAAGTGATTTTGATTCCTTTTTCGAAATGGTTTTCTCTAATGAGTTCCTAAAGCCTTAAACACTATTTTTAAGTATTGTTTTCTGGATTCAAACCACCATTTTGAAATTGGATTTTGAGTTGATTGACATATTTCTCTATATAATTGATGTGGGAATTGTTATTTTCAATGAGTGATTGTAAATACTTGATTATTATATATTCTATGGCTTTGGAAGTAATTCAGAAGGGGAAGACTCAATTCGTGGAGTGATTGTTGATTGATTTAAGACAAGTGACTTTCTAAACCTCATTTTCTAGCAGAATTCTTGTACTTCCTGTGTTGCTTGTGTGTCGGGAGAAATGGGATGAGGTGAAGGGTTAAATTGTCCACTTAATACATCTAAATGAATAAAAAGGGGTTGAAATGAAAAAGGCTATATGTTGAACATGATGATGTGAATTGTTTTATTGTGACACTTGTTGATTGATTGATGAAATGCTTGAAGCATGAATATGGACTTGAATTGTGTGAATTGTTGTCTCTTCTGTGTGGTGTGATATTGCTTATATGCTTTGACTTTGAACACTGTTATGAGACATGTGATGAATTATGAAGCCGAGGTCTTTGTCGGCGAGTGTTATGTTGTCAAGGTCTTTGCCGGCAAGTGTTGTGATGCGGTCTTTACCGGCGAGTGCTATGAAGTCAAGGTCTTTACCGGTGAGTGTTGTGATGTCGAGGTCATTTTCGGCAAGTGGTATAAAGCCGATGAGAAATGGTTCCAGCTGATGAATTGATATAAAGCCGATGGGACATGGTTCAGGCTGGTGATATTGTGCCGATGAGAAATGGTTCCGACAAGAGATTGATTAGTGTGACTTGATGCATTTTATGTTTATGCGTGACTTGATTGCTATTTGTGATTTATATACTTGTTCCAAGTGACTGAGCTACTTGACTTTGAGATTGACTTACTTAATCCGCTTGATCATTGATCGTGACTATTGAGTTGTGAATATTGTGCCTTGTAAGTCGTGTATTGTAGAATTGCTAGGTTGAGCTGATTTATGTGCATGTTGTAGTTTGAGGAGGTTCGATGGGAGTGTAAAGGGTATTCGATTTCTAGCTAGATACCTTGTTTATTAGGTTTCTTGTTGGGTACCTTGTTGTTGGTACTCACCCCTTGCTTCTACACTTGTGTAGGTTTCGAGTCCGGACCCGCGTGACCTATTTTTCCTTATTCTTACTTCAAGGCTTGTCGAGGAATTGAAGAGGTAGTTGTTTGTCACTCTTGGCAGGCCCTCTTTTACCTTTTCTTTATACTTTGTTCTTGACAAATAAAGATTGTGACTTGTACTTATTTCTAAATTCCGCACTTTATGTATCTAATAACTTGTACAAGTGACAATCAGGTTTAGAATGAATAAGTTTTCCGCCTTTGTCTTGTTCTTGCTTTATTTCTTTCATTTTCGTTGGGTTGAGACTGATTAGTCTTTCTTTTTTAAACTGCGTGTCAATTAAGGTGGTGCTTGAAACTCCATTGATTTGGATTGATGTGTTAAAATTAGAAGGCACATTAGGTGGAGAAAAGTTGTTGGATTTTTGTCTTTCGAATTTGTGGCCGATGAACTTTTAAAGTTTGTGATTGAAAGTTGTTGTAAGTCAATCGAGTATTGAAAATTATTGTTATTGAAGTGATCAAAACTGATTTGAAGAAAAAACTTTTACATTACTCCATTGTTGAGATTTGAAGTTGGGGTTGGGCTATGGTTAATTTTTGTTGTTGGCAGGGACAAAAATTATTTGGGTCCTTCTAATTAATCTCAATCCTTCACATAATTACATATTTTGGGTATTAACCAGATAAAAAAGATTTGGATTTTTAAAATTAATCCCAACCTTTCACATGTTTCTTCTAAGGTTGGGACCCACATATTTAATGGATTAAGGGTATATTTGGCCCAAAGTATAACGGGAGGGATATATTTGGTCCAAAAGTATAACAAAGGGTATATATAAACTATTTCTTATAGGAAAGGGATATATTTGACCATTTTCCGTTGATTTTTACACACAGCATTTAGACCTTTGCCATTACAATTTTTTTCCAAACAAACATTTATTCTCTTACTATTTTTCTTCTTGCGAACGATTCCGCCCACAATTTAGTGCAGTCTTCTTCAAAAAGTTGAGGAAAAAAAAGAAGAGAAAGACCGCTTTTAAAAGAATATGAAAACGTCAGATCAAGGGAATTGTGTATAAACTTGAGGCGTGTATAGTTGTATATTCAAAAATATACATCCAATCATGGGTGCTATCACTGCTATGCATACTCTTTCTCTTTGTTCATCTGTATCCATATCAAACCAAAATAATTTTTGCTACATACTGTGACCAATTGATTTATTCCAAACTTATTAAATAACCCAAAAATTTGATTGATTCCAATCTTAACCTAGTCTACAATAATAAAAAAATGGAAAAGGGTCAAAACTATCCTTAAACTATCCGAAATAACTTAAATATACCCTTAAACTATATTTCGGCTCAAAAATACTTTTTTCGTCAAACTATTGGGTCACACTTACCCTTCTAGTTAACGGAAGTATCCATGTGTGTGTTAAATGCCACATGGATGCCACATATGCACGTCAAACAGACCCCACCTCCACATAGACGACTACGAAAAAGGATCAAAACTATCCTTAAACTATTCGAAATAGCTTAAATATACCCTTAAACTATATTTCGGCTCAAAAATGCCCTTCCCGTCTAACTATTAGACCACACTTGCCCTTCTGTTTAACGGAAGCATCCACGTGTGTGCTAAAATGCCACATGGGCTCCACATGTGCACGCCAAACACACCCCGACCACCTCCACATAGATGACTTAAAGCCTTAATTTCACTCTTTTTTTTCCCTCATTTCATCCTAAAAAGTATATATTGAACCAAAAAAAAGAAAAAAAGATTTGCGGAAACTTGTATACGTAACCGAATGAAGTAGAAAAATTGCAATTTGATGACCATTTCAAACACAATAAAAGAAACGATCTAATGTATAATATAAACACACTCATTTTAATTAATCAATTAACACTAAATTATTATTTTAATTTCTCTTAATAAATTAATTTTGTTTAAACAAATCTTAGCGAAGCTTTCTTGTTGATTCAACTCACGGCCATGGCGCAAAATAGCAGTTGTCGTAAGAGACATAATAAACTTATCAACAGAACTCCAGGCAGAAGGAAGACGCCTACAATGGCTTCCCTGGCGGTGGTGACCGAGTTCTACCACATCAACGTCTGCGATTTTGCTAATGAGGAAAACTTGACGAATGGCTGGGATGACACCTTCGATTGCTACTACATCAACGAAGACCAAGTAAGTCTTTATAGATTTCATAATTTAATTTTTTTTTGTACAAATTACCCTATTTTTGTTCAAGTTTTGAGCTTTTCTGGTCCCTAATCTAGAAGATACTCTAAATGATTGTTAAGGAAGTTTTAAATTTTGTGGAAAGTTAAAGAAACATTCAATATATAGATGATTTAAGGATTAGATAGCAGAATTAATTTAAATTTTGTTTAAGTTGTGATCTTCAAAGTACAACATATTAGTATCGGGATAAAATGGAACTGAATTGAGTCAATGTATATTGTATATTCATATAGATATACCCAAATAAGGAAATGATGAATGAGGGGAAAAAGAGTGAAATTAGGGCTTTAAATCGTCTATGTGGAGGTGGGGTGTGTTTGGCGTGCACATGTGGAGTCCATGTGATATTTTAGCACACACATGGATGTTTTTTGTTAAACAGAAGGGCAAGTGTGGTCTAATAGTTAGACGGGGAGGGTATTTTTGAGCCAAAATATAATTTAAGGGTATATTTAAGCTATTTTGAATTGTTTAAGGGTAGTCTTGACCCTTTTCAATGGAGAAATTGTTATGTGAATAAGGAGCAGACCCCTCCTATGCAATAGGTCATAAATCATACAAAACAAGTAATGCGTACTAGGTAAGTTCGATGGGATGAATTCCACCCAGAAGACAAATTCTTTACTTTTGCTTGGTAATAAATTTCAAACTTGAGATCTCCATTATGAAAGTCTCAAGCAGGTCACAATATTTTTTCCCCTCTATAATCTCAAAAAATGGGATGCAAAGAATTATATTGGAGGTGGACGTATAGGAAAAATGGTTGAATTGTCAAACGAGATACCCTACAAATATTTAATGCAAATACTTTACTACTTAACCTTTTTATATACGACTCTTTCTGCATTATTATTGCGACTAGACTATGCAGCAAATATTACGCTGTCCTTGAATTAATGTTTGAAACTTTGGACAAGTCTTCATTTGACATTTCCCCTTCTTCTTCTTACTCCTATTATATATATATATATATATATATATATATATATATATATGCTCCAATTTCTTTAAAAGGAAGAAAATATATCCTTTTAACAGTACTATAGACTTAATTGATTTGTGTATCGAATTGATGGCTAAAGAACGGTCGATGGAGGCAACCCCTACTTGGGCGATTGCTGTGGTTTGCTTCATCTTGCTCGCTATTTCCATTTTTATTGAACAAATTATTCATCACATTGGAGAGGTACGCACGTAAGTTCTTATTACTATATAACTTGTTTGTCTTCTTTTACTAGATCGATATGAATGATTTTCATTTGCAGTGGTTACTGGAAAAGCGGAAAAAGCCTCTATATGAAGCACTTGAAAAGATCAAAGCTGGTAAATTCAAAATACATATATATATTATATATATGCATCAAATAATTAATTAATATATATAGTGACATATTTGGTGTGTGTGTGTGTAACAGAACTTATGCTGTTGGGATTCTTATCACTGTTGCTGACAGTGTTGCAAGAACCAGTTTCTAACTTATGCGTCCCCAAGAGTATTGGTTATTCATGGCATCCTTGTAAGCCAAAGGGAGACGCCCAGTCTGAATATGAGGTTACTTCATGTGACAAAAAGGTACCTAAGTAGGAAGTCAAACGGTTTCGATGAACCGCTTTTCTCTACATTATATTATTCATTTTAATTTATGGGGTTACGTTGTTAAAAATTAATGCAGGGAAAAGTCCAATTTGCATCTTCATATGCAATACACCAGCTCCATATCTTCATCTTTGTGTTGGCAGTTGCTCATGTATTGTACTGTATAGCAACTTTTGCTTTGGGCAGACTAAAGGTATGTATATTATATTACCTTTCGTCATTCATATCATTTCTTTTTCTTTTTCTCTTCTTTGCTTAATAATTTTCTATCTTAATTAATTATTTAATTTGTAGATGAGAAAATGGAGGGCATGGGAGGATGAAACAAAAACAATTGAGTACCAATTCTACAACGGTTAGTATACAACAATTTCAATAATATTTGTCATTACATCATTCATTAAAGTATAAAAGTATACATCATCATAATATTCCTTCCCTCCATTTAAAAAATCATAAATAAATAAAAAAATAAAAAAGACTTTGCAATAAAGTTATGTCAAATGTACCAAAATATTTTTTTATCTTTTAATTTTAAATATATCACGTGAAAAGCTGAAATTAGAATATTATAAAAAATGAAAAAAGACTATTTTTTTCTAAAGAGACTAAAAATAAAATCAAGTCATTATTTTTTAAACTATAGAAGTAGGAAAAGACAACTCTAGCCCTTAATCATTAGATATTTAGAACCTTAGACCTAAGCTTCGTATACTTGATCCATAACATGTGAAATTCCATTGATGGTGAGAATTCATTTATGTATATTTGAGTGGAAATATATTAAATACTATACTCAAAAATAGGTCCACAAACATTTCAATTTAGCTACAAATTGATGTGACATATATCTAAAAAGTTTGGACACGTCTGTTGTTATTTATTTGTTTATACCCCAAGTGGAGCTATTGGATAAGTAATGTGAATAAGGGAATCATTTGCAAGTTGCACCTTCGCCGCCTTTTAATACTACTAAATTAATTGACCGACACTTCATTTATACTCCCTCAGTTTATTTTTAATTATTATAATTTCTACTTTTAGAATAAAACTATAAGTATTTTAACAAATATTTTACGATATATTTTTTTATCATATTAATAAACAAAAAGTTGTAATATAGTACTTTTCTTATAATATGTAATTTAATTTAAATTTGAAAATTAATCAAATTAACTTTCAAAAAACATAATATGACAATTAAAAATGAACTAATGGAGTACTTATTATTGCTCTCATTCGTCCCCTTTGTGGTTGACTTACTTATTTTCAATTACTTTAAAAGAATGTTTGGTTTTTTTTGACAATTTTTTATTCTAACTTCTCACTTTACACGTTAAGATTATAAAGTAAAATATATTTTGAAATTTAAAAATATATAAAGAAATTCATTATCAGAAGTCAAAATGAGAGAAAATTAAAATTATTATTGTTGACTTTAATTATTGGTATTTGATGGTTGCAGACCCTGAGAGATTCAGATTTGCAAGGGAGACCTCGTTTGGACGTAGGCATATGCATTTCTGGAGCAAGTCGCCCGTCTTGCTCTGGATAGTGAGTCAATCATTTCCATCCATTTAATTCATTATATATATATTATTTATATTGTGTAAATAATCAAATTCATTTTATTAGGTTATAATTATTAGGACCTTAATAATTAGGTGTTATGTGACAATTAGTAAAGCAAATCTCGAAAAATTATGAGTAAGAAGACAAACGAAAAAGACACAAATATTTAATGTGATTTAGTCAACCGATCACAAAAGAAATGAGCAATAAACTATATAAGTATGAGAATATAGAATATCGAGAGAAATAACCTCATACAATTTACTCGGAATAATAAAAGGTTTACACTTGTGTCTAACCGTTTCTCTCCCTACAAAAAAACTCTCAAAGAATGAACTTCTATAATTTTATTTGTAGAGTCATAATCTTTTTCCTAAAAAAAGGACTATCCAAATATGAAACTTTATAATTTCCTTTAAAGAAAGAAAAAAGAAAAGGAAAACCCATAAGAAACTAGGACAAACAATATATAATATTAACCAATACATATCTATCATAAAAATTATTTAGTAGTAGCATAAATAATTATGTAAGGATTCATTAAACTGATATCTTTTGTGATTATATTTACAGGTTTGTTTCTTCAGGCAATTCTTCTCATCAGTAGCAAAAGTTGACTATTTAACCCTTAGACATGGGTTCATGATGGCAAGTCAATCTCCAATATAACATTAATTATACCATATCCAAAATATTATTGAAAATTAACCGCAGTCTAACCTCTCTTTTTTTATTCATGTAATTAACTGCAGGCACATTTAACTCCACAAAATCAAAATAATTTTGATTTTCAAATATACATTAACAGAGCAGTTGACAAAGACTTCAAAGTTGTTGTTGGAATAAGGTTTACATCTTTTTTTTCCCTTCCTGTCACACAATTCCTCTTTTACTAATTCTATATGATAATAATAATAACATTATTTATGTTGCAGTCCTGCATTATGGCTCTTCACGGTGCTATATTTTCTGACTACTACCGATGGTACGTATTAAATTGGCCTCATTTCACATTTATATATTCTAATTTTGAGTGTGCACAAGTAGATATACGTGTCATAATATATGTAGGGTGCAAATTGTCACGTATTGATATGTGTGTCTATTTGTTCAATTTTATACAAATTTGAGTGTCTACTTGTTTACACTCAAAGTTGAAGGACATAAATGTGAGTTAAGACCAAGTTAAAACGCATATTTATGTATTATGCCAGTGAAAGGATTATTAATTAGTACTTGACTAAACCATATCTAATATTAATTGAAACTTGTTCCTTTTATTGGACAGGATTGTACTCGTATCTTTGGGTGCCATTTGTCCCACTTGTAGTAAGTTCATTCATTAATAAGAGTAATAAATATATATATATATATATATATATATATATATATATATATATATATATATATATTCATTCATGATTGAATAAAGTATAAAATTAATTATGAAAAAATTAATTAAAATGCAGATTATATTGCTGGTTGGCACAAAACTTCAAATGATCATAACAGAAATGGGAGTAAGGATTTCAGAAAGGGGAGACATAGTAAAAGGTGTACCAGTGGTGGAGACTGGAGACCATCTTTTCTGGTTTAATCGCCCTGGCCTTGTGTTATTCTTGATTAACTTTGTGCTCTTTCAGGTACCTTTTAAAAACTCACTAATTTTCATATACTCCCTCCGTCCCATTTTATGTGGCAACATTTGACCGGGCACGGAGTTTAAGAAATAAATGAAGACTTTGAAATGTTTACCAAATTGCCCTTTTAAAAAGTAGACTCAATTTCTCTCTCCTCATAAATGTATTGGAGTATTATTTTAAGATTAAGTGGGACCAACAAGGATAAAAAAGGAATTGTACCTTTAAATACTTTCCAAATAAGGAAATGTGACATTCTTTTTGGGACTGACCAAAAAGGAAATGTTGCCACATAAAATGGGACGGAGGGAGTATAATATTCTCTCACTTACTTTTGTTTTTAGTCTGTTTAAAAAAAGAATCATTTATTTTCTTTTTTGGTAATACAAGATTAAAGTACGTTTTGACATAACTTTAATTTATGATGATCACAAAATTGAAAAGACAAACTCTATATCAAATCAAACTATGCCATTCTTTTTTAAAAATATAACATTGGTACAAACTCCTAGCTTGGAATTTCATAATGATTTTTTGTTTCTTGCAGAATGCGTTTCAAGTTGCTTTCTTTGTTTGGAGTTGGGTAAGGAGTTGGATTTCCATTTTCTTTTTTCTTTTGGAATGAAATTTGAATATTGTCCTGAATATTATTTTTTTTCCTTTAAATTTTCAGTGGAAATTTGGATTTCCATCTTGCTTTCATCGGAATGCTGCAGACCTAGCCATAAGGCTAACCATGGGGTGAGTTTCACTTGCAAAAACTTACTTTAGATTGCCAGAATTATGCTCAAAAACTCTGATATACATTCTTCCTTCCTAGAGGGTTCAGGAAGGGTAATCAATGAATGACCATTTTCCCTACATAATAACATGATTTTTTTCGAGAAATATGTTACTTCTTCTGTCTTAGTTTATATGATTTACTTTCCTATTTAGTCAATTTCAAATAAAATGACATATTTTTATATTAAGTAACAATTTAACTTTAAACTATCACTTATTTTAGATCACAAGTTTCAAAAGTTAGTCTTTCTTTCTTTTTTTCTTAAACTATGTGTCAAAATGATCAATCAAATACGACAAACATCATGGAAGTTGAAGCATATTATATTTTCAGGGTGATCATACAGGTCCATTGCAGCTATGTGACTCTCCCTCTTTATGCCTTAGTTACCCAGGTAGGTACTCTGATCTACATTATAAAATCTTAGACATTAAGCATGAATATATACTGATATATAGAACTTTGTAGATGGGTTCATCAATGAAGCCTATCATCTTTGGTGATAATGTGGCAACAGCTCTTAGAAGCTGGCACCATACAGCGAAAAAGCGGGTGAAACATGGGCTATCAGGACACACCACCCCTGCCAACAGCAGACCAACCACACCATTGCATGGTACCTCCCCTGTTCACTTATTACGCGGTTATCCACAATATAATGAGGATAGTGTTCAAGCATCTCCACGGACATCCAACGTCGAAAATGAAGGGTGGGCTAATGAAATATCCAATGACAATCAGGAGGGAGAGATCCTGCAGCATGCCTCCACTGATCATAACAAGCAAATTGAGATTACAATGTCAGATTTCACTTTTGGAAACAAATAAATGATCAATGTATATGTAAAAACTAATCTCCTCTTCATTGTTTAAGTTCATTACTGTAGATGGATCCTAGATAGTTCAAGTGCCTGCTTGCAAATACACAAAGATTTTCATTCCATAATTCTGTTATACTTATATGTACAGAATATATAGCTACCCAATCACATAGGATTAGCCTATAATAATGTGACATAAGAATGATATATAGTATGTAAGATAGTACATGATTGTAACACCCCGCACTTTCAGAATGTTTAAATTGACTCGTACCTTCGGAGCAAGACTAAGGGTGATTAATAAGTTAAGCAGTATGTTTTTTGAATTGTTCAATGGTTGTATTTTAGTTTTGAGGTCAATCAAGTTGTAAAATGAAAATTGGCAAAAGTTATCGCAAGTTACTTTCATAAGCATTCAGAAATTTGGGTCAAATATCTTAGAGCTTTTCTCCCAATATATTATGAGTAATTAGATGTTCCGGTATTTATCAAATCGAAGGTCTATGAGTCTACTTTCTAACGCATCAAATCATTCCTCCATACAATTTTTGAATAGAGAGATATTCACGTTTTCATAAGACTATGCTTTGAATAGAGTAATTAGTTGCATAGAATTTCATGTTGATATTGGCAGCATAGCAATTAGTTTGGCGTAGAAATAATGTGATTGCGACGCCTATAAACTATATAGCTCACCTACGGGCCTTGGGCGTATCTTGATGCCTATAGAGCTAAAGAATTAGAGTTGTAGTTTTACCTTCGGGTAATAGCGTCATATATGTCTATTGAGTTATGGTGGTGAGATGCTAGGTGTTTCACCTATTTGTTAGCGACCTTATACTTTGGCATGACATACAAGTTGTTGTGCAGATCACTTAGAAAGCCACCTTACTTGATGATAAAATTAGAAGATTGTTTGATGCCTATAGTGGCTATCTCATCAGCTCTTAGTATTAGGGATTGACACTTTAGAGCCATGTATATATAGATATCCCTGTATTTGTTGCCTTTGGCAAGTGTACCTTGCCTATGGGGCTATACTTGGCTTATATATAAGAGCTATAGAATGTCTAGAAAGACCATATTGATGCTTGTAGAACTATATTAAAGTCTACTCCCTTATGGACTTCCTTCATGCCTAAGTTGAAATTAATGACCCTCTTCTATATAGAGTTGTGTGTGCTCGAGATACAGTTATAAGAGCCTAGAAGGCTTGGATACAACTATAGGAGCCCAAAAGGCTCAATATACAGATGCAAGAGCCAAATATGCTCAAGATACTGTATAACTTAGGAAAGATATGGCTAGTTGTCGTAGCAAAGTTAATCGTCATAGCCTTATTCAATTATGTAATCAGCTGTTGTGGTTGATATAGACATTTCTCATTTGGATCTATATTCCATTATTAGGGACCCCATATTTAGTTAAGGCGTAATAATTGTTCATATACTTGTTTGTTTTCTTGATTTCATGATTTTTATTATGCTAGTAGCATAGTTGTCCAGCAAGAGTGAGTGTGGCATCAGGTGCCAGTTGCATCCTAAGTTAGGGTGTGAAAAACTTGGTATCAGAGCAACACCGTATCCTAGGAAGTCTGCAAGCCATGTCTAGTAGTCTTGTTTATAAATATGTTTTGCACCACATTATATAAACAAGGAGCTACAGGGCATGTTGGAATGGTTACCCCTCTTTTGCTCAGTTCATGCTATAGAGATGGATCGTAAGTGCTGAGTTTTCGAGCCAATAGTTGCTATTTGTATATATAGAGAGATGCCTAGTACTAGATAGACCGCAGCTAACTAGAGGCTACATATTGTTACAGGTGAGGGTACTAGCAGGGTACCATCGACAAAGATGGCCTAGCCTGATGTCGATAGTGAGACAACTACAGAGAGGGTACTAGCAAGGTACCATCCTATTTCTGAAGACTCATCTACCGTCTGTAGTTTCATTTACTGTCCATAGATGGTGTCTGTAAATCCTAGAAATCTGTAAAATTAAAAAATTTCCAAGCTTCTCCTGATCTAAGTTGAGCTAGGTTTTTCTGAGGTGTTACCACAAATTACACATAAGACGTAATTTTTAATTTTTTAAACATGTCTTGTTGTTGATTCTGTTGTCTCCATTGGTGATAAATACTGGAAAATTATTACTACTCATAAAAGATGTCCACATTTGGAGTTCTATTAGTATAAAATAGTACTCCATATGTTTTGTTATATCAGTGTTCTGATCAGTGCCAAGTTTTATTTTCTTAAAAAGTATCAAATCTTCAATGAATATGAAGTACATATGCTAATTGGTAAATTACTGGATTTTGTTCCATCAAATATTTGAATTACAAAAGAAATCGATATTTTTATTTATATAATTATGAGGAGAAATCAGATGTATATCTCCCATTCTTTTACTAGGCCACAAAAAAAAAAAAGATTTGAAACTTGAATTGGAATAAGTTTGAAAGAGATTTTCGGTTGATCCATTTTGATTACGTTAAATTTGTCTAGTTTTTTTTTGTTTGTTTGCTCTATGCTCCAAGCTGATTTTTATCTTCTATGTATGAGAGCTTAACATATCGTTCATGGTTGCTTTTATTGTACAAGATAAAATTGAATAAATACTAAGTCAGAGACCAGAAAGTCTTACAAAATTTAACCTAATAATGCACTTGGTCTAGTACTTGATTCTGAATACCTGATCGTGTCCAAATATTAGACATAGGTGCAATTTCAACTATCTAACTCAAGACATTTGGGAGATTTATGCCTCATTTGTTTACACTTAATAGAGGTTTGAATCTGAATGGTTCAAATATTAAACCATTAAGTGCATTTTGTTTTCATTAAAAGCTCAACCACTTAATGGTTCTGAATAGGTCTAAATCATTAAGATCTAGAACAATGTTGTAATATCATTAAGAGGTATTCTTCCACAATCACCAGTAACACCATCCCTATCCACTTCATCACCACCACCACCATCACTATCATCGTCTACCACATCTGTCATCACAACCACCACCGTTGCGAACTACTATTATCACATGCTACCACACTTACTTCCTCCATCATTATGATTATATCCATTGTCGCCACCATCACCGTCTATGTAGCCACTGCCACCGCCACCACCATTTCTATAGTCGTCACCATCTCCACCACCACTATCATCCACTATTACCACTATAGTCAATTCCTACTACTAATAAATTCCGTCATCACAACTTACACCACCACCACTATCACGTGCCGTTAAGAATTTATCCTGCCCCACCGCGCCTTGTCCTTTCCTCATTGTCATCCCTATGCCTTAGAAAAAAATCGATGGATGACCCGAGGCTCCTGAAATTGCCATAACTTCGATAAACTAGTCAAAATTCATTTTACCTTATCAAAGATAATACATATATTTTCTCTATCCTTTTTTTAATTAGATAATTAATATATTTTCTTTATCCTTATAACGTGAGAACTCGGTTTTTGAAAAGATCTTTTCCATGCCTCTTTCGACTCCTTGTCAGCAGTAGCAAATGCTAGAGGAAGAATGTAATTATTTTCATAAACTCCAACAATAATTAACAATTTTATCTCTTATCTATCATACATATGGGTTTCATCTACTAAAATAACAAACGACAAGTTCGGAATTCATCAATGCATGGAAAAGCCCAAAATATAAACTTGAAAGTTTTTACCTCTGGCAAACTCATTGACTCTTCGTGTTTCTATTCCACAACTGTTCCAAGATTAGAGTACTGAAAAGGTACAAAAAACTTAGGATGCTCATTGAATGATTTCTGAAAAGTACCATATACTAATGTAAATGCACATTGACATCTAAGCCTCACTTTTCTATATGTTACTTGATGACCAAAATTTTCATGAACCTTAGAAATGACATCTACTACAAATAATTTGGATTTTTTACGTATTTGATTTAGAAACAAAATGTAATTAAATTGGTATCCAATTTAGCGTGGCCTGTCGTAAGCCCTTTAGTCTCACATCTATAATTATCAAAATACTTTCGTATCATTCAAAGGCTACCTCCAACCTTCTGACCTCGAAGAAATCATAGACAACCCAATGAATCATAAAATCTGCATCTCACAGTCCATAAACTCTTGGTTGATATTACAACCTTGAATTTTTCATTTTGGCTTAAACTTCAAATAGTCCGTTTCAACTTATCTTTGTTACTAAACCACATATCTGTTTCTTAATCTTTTGTTGACATCCTTGTACCAAACAAAATAAGATTTCATCTCAGATTCACGTGTAGAGATAAAAATATCCTCCTCATTCTCCAATGTTGTAAAGTAGGATATATCATGATTTTGCATTTTAGATATATCCTAATCAAATTGATTTTGAAGATTTATCCTGTATCATTTTAAGTTAAATCTTCAGTATTTTCATCAAATTCACTTTCAATGGTTTTATTCTCTCCATCATCTTCTGAAGGTTCATATTCCCCTAAATTTTCATCGCTTCATCAAGCATGTGCATCATTACAAAAATCAAAGCTAGCTTCATCTACTCTAGAAAAAAATAAATTAATTTTATGAAATATATAAATGAAAATAATTAATTATTCGTGCTACTAAATAGACTAAGTTTATATATATATATATATATATATATATATATATATATATATATATATATATATAATTACTCTACGAGATTTCATATTGGTTGTGGCTACTTTCAATATGTCTTTGACTACTTGAGCTTTCATCAAATGATCGATATCTATGCTCGTTAGGATCTGCACCAAATGATTGATGGATACCATATGTTACACCATATGCAAAATGAGGTTGACTGATTGTGGAAAATTCATATTTTTGAGCCAATAAATTCATATGATAATCATGCTAACCATTAATTTGAAATAGATTATCTTAATTTATTGATCTACGTACGTCTCTAAAACATTTATCTTATTAAAAAATTTTGATAAAAAATTGTAGAAAAGACTGGGCATTCTCAATTTTGAATTCAATGAACCCTGTAATGTTACCTTGAAATGGGCATTGATATTTTTTAGAAATATTTACT